CATGAAGTATTATAAAAAACCCAAAAGTTTCAAAAATTGCATATAATATCCTTAAAAGTTTAAAATTACACAAAACGACTTGACTTTTTTAAACTTATAAACAAACATAAAATCTAAAAATCTAAAATTTATAATTAACACCCTCAACATTTTGAAAATTATAGAAACAACATCAAAGTTTGAATTATAAAAAAACTTTAAAATTCAGAGATTTTAAAACTTAGCAACAATATAGATGGATTCTAAGAATTACCACTAAGCACTTAAAATTTTAAAATTTGCAAAAAATAATCTTAAAGTTATAAAAATTACAAAAACTCTCGAAAAGTAAAAAATTACAAAAAATCATGAAATTTCAAAACTTATAACATGTACACATTAAATTTAGAAATTATCAGTAGATCATTGAAAATTTAAATTTTTTAAAAAATAACCCAAAATTTTAGTAATTGTAAAAATACCTTCAAATTTTCACAGCTACAAGAAATATTCTGACATTTAAAAATTTACCACCAATACATGAAATATGAATTATAAGCACCCAACTTATAATTAAAAGTTTTCATAAAATATTATCAAAGTTTAAAAAATACAAAGCACACCCTCCAAAGTTCAAAATCACAAAAAAAGCTAAAATTTTGGCAAAGAAAAGAGAAAATATTTGATATTATAACACTAAGTTATATAAATTTAATTTTTAATTTAAAATTTATCATCTCTTTTCAACATCTAAAATTAGTCTAAGTTGATGCCGATAAAAAATAGCAATTACCATAGATTGAAACTATCCAGTTTAGGAATAAGAATTTAAAAATATATGATAGATTAAAAATTAACATTACTGTATAAATTCAAGGAACTGCATATAATTTTAATAATAACATCCATTGATAAAAGAAAAATTAATAAAAGACTATAATATAATAGGTTAGCATTAATTGATTATAATGTATAAATATTTATCTCTAATGTCGATAATATTTATAAAGTAAAAAATACATTAAGATATGTATGGAGAAACTATCAGAAAGTTCAGATATATCATTTAAAATAACTAAGTTGTTTTTATTTCAAATGGATAAGTGAAGGAAATAAACTCAAAATTTGGAAACATTCATGAATCACCTAAATTGACATTGATAAAAAGGCAAATCCGACAAATAAGCACTGACCGAGTTCCCCTTGAAGAACATATTAAACTATTTTATCCTAATTAAAAAAGCAGTCTTCATGAAAGATACAAGAAAAATTAGTAAGTATTTATAAATTTTCATACTTTATTCTTAAAATACCAAAGGAATCATAAACTTAATATAAAATTATATATAAATAATCTTACAATAAAAACTAAAGTAAAGCTATTGATCAACTATATTGCAAGATATAATAAGCTAGATAAGATGAGGAAAATTATTATAATTAACAAAAAGTATGCACATGATACTTAGTTACCATAGCGTAAGTAAAAAAAAGTTAAAATTGATATTTTTTTTCTATATAGTGCCATGACTCTGTAAGTAACCTTATTTGGGGATATGACTACCAACGAATAATCTATTTTTAGGGACACAGTCAAAGATAAGTATGTAATAGTACTGTCAGATTTTAAGATCTTTAAATATGAAAGTAGCATAGTTTACAACTAAAATTCTTATTAAAGGCCACTAAATATAAAGTACTACACAAATTTAATTTATTGAATATTTTATAGAATAGCTTAATTTTTTGAGGAAAAATCATGAATCTTTAGAAGGGATTTTCATGAACTCTTTTAATATTTTTATATGGTTATGTGGATGCAATTATCATATAAAAGTGTACTAGAGTTAGTATTAATCTTTATCTTATAATTTTTCTAAAGTCTATCAATGATTAGCAACAAAATTTATATTCTTTTTAGTTTCATTGTAGCCCACTTTAATTAATCATCTTGGATTATTGGCTTTAATTATTCATCTTTCTTTTATAACACTATTTCTTCAAGTGTTTTTTACTTTTACAACATTATACCTTCTCAAGTCAAGCTTAGTTTCATATCGATCTAAATAACGTGCAAATTCAAATTAGCTTTAGATTATATTTATTTCTTATCAATTCAATTATTAATGTAAAATTTTTAAATTTGGTGTAGCCCATTAAAACATTAAAAAAATAAATAATCACAGTTTAAAGACATAGGTGAGCAAAAACAAGCAAAGTGGAACTAAGAAACAAATTGGTGAGCAAAAACAAGCAAAGTGGAACTAAGAAACAAATTTTAGTAAGCAAATAAATCAAAAATACTTAATCATAGTATTTAATCACGTGCATACTAAGAAACAAATTTTAGTAAGCAAATAAATCAAAAATACTTAATCATAGTATTTAATCACGTGCATTGTACGTGTATAAAACCTAGTTTTATAACTTTCTAACTACTAAATTTGCTAAACTTACTACTAAATCTATCAACTTTTTATTTTTCAAATTGAATCAAAATATGTTTGATCAGTGTTTAGATAGGATTAACAATAAATTTAAAATAGTAATGACTAAAAACACTAAAACTAATATGTGAATGTTATAAGAAAACTTTTAGATGAAAATTTTTACGTTTGCACAATAGAAGTACTAAAGTGTTAAATTTAAACAGCTAAGGGTATATAAATGATCCCAAAAAAACTTAGGGTATATAAATACTAAATGAGCAAAATATAAGTCATTTTAATGCAATTTAGCCATATATAAATTATGTAGAGTGAAAACTTTGTAAAAGAATATTCATAATGACTTTATAATAACACATGCTAGAGACTTTTAGATGCATAAATTTGATTAATGAATGTACTTTCTAGTGGACTTAGGCTTTTGATTTGGCTTACATTTTTCTACTTAGAGCAAGTGTATATTCCACTCTATGCGATAGAGGAATATATTTGCGACTAAAATTGAATAATTATTTGTGCTTCTACGTTGTTTGTTTAGCATTTTTAATGAAAAGTAGTGACTATAATGTTCTAATAACAAGAATCGAAAAGAATTCATATCATTACATATACCCAAAGATATATTTAACATTTGAAAGTACTTCAGAACTAAATATAAAAATTATTGTTTGCGACTCGGAATATATAGGGAGTAGATTATAACACTTAGTATATGAAAACAAACATAAATTATATATTTGAATAGTTTAGGCCGATGATGAGTACAATGATAAAAAATTAAACTCTACGTAGGAAAAATGTACAAATTGTAGCTAAAAAATTTCCTTAAGAAAACGATTGTCATAAATATTATTAATACAAAAAAAGACTAATATAAAGAGGTATATTGTTACAAATGTTAAATCAATTTCTAGTACAAGAATCTAAATGCAAATCCTTGATTAGTGTAAAAAATGTCTTACTATAAATCATTAATGCTCATCGTCGTTACACTATTCATGAGACTTAAACCTCATGCACAAAATTAGTATGCTAGTAGAAAATTTTGTTCCCTTATAATTTCTTAAGCAAGATTCAGATAGATGTGTAATTTTGTAATAAATCGATAAATAAAATTTAAGGATGCTATTGTCATTTTTACTCATAATCCATTATAGTTTACATTAGTAAATAAACTTCATGAGGGAAACTCAATGTTTGCATGACTTTAACTCTTTTCCTATTAGTCTTATTGTGATATTCACGTTGATTAAACTTTCTACACTTTGTCAAAGAGAGCATACCAATTGAAACCTTAGATACTAAATTTATAGGCTCAGCAAGAGTGGTAACTAGTAACGTTCATTTTCAAGTATATTGCAACAAATCTTCCATCAATTTCTCTACTAGCTGACCTTTCTTACCCTACCCTTGTACTTGTATTTTGTTCGTACACAAGCATCCAAGGCCTCCCCAACATATGTTGCAACATCTCTAATATCATGCTCTAACTTTGTATTTCCCTTAACTAAGTCATCAAATTTGGTGCATTTCGATCCCCAGTTGCTATGTGAAACATAGGGTGAAATACAATAGACTCCTCCATTTAAGTGGTTCTCGCTTCTCATTGTTCTTGTTCTTAGCTCCTCCCCAGGTAGTTCCCAATGTTTGGCACTTTCCATACTTCATGGATGGAACATCAACAAATTCGCTCAAAATCAAGTTACAACATAAGATCTACCCACCCACACCACCACCACTTGTGAAGAAGGATAACGAGTGAAGATCTACCTCAGTCAAGTCGTCGACTGCTACGGTACCTGAACTGAAAACCAAATGCTTTGAGGTTGAAAGGCAATCCAGATACGCTGATTCCTACCTGTATTTTTCAATGTTTTAAATGTCGGCCGACATGTCCGACATATCGGTTTGAGGGCTTGACCGACACGACGTAGATGTTTTCAACTCGTATGTCGGTTTTCAGGGCCAAATCGGAAATATCAGGATCATATCGGGCATATCGGCCTATTTTTTAGCCTTGAAAAATCGGTCGATATGGTACTCTTCTTTAAGATCTGTTTTTTGTTATTGGGTTTGGATTTAGTGATAAATACCCAAACCCGTTTGACCCGTTCTCATGTTTAAGGGTTTCTTATGAACCCGATAGAAAGAATTTATGAACCCAAATCCATATATTATTTACTTATAAATATGTTTAGTCTATAGAATTTATAAAGTATGCTTATATTGAATTTATGTATGCTTAGGTTACATTTAGGACATAATATCATACATATGCGCACTACCCGATATGACAATCTGATATTTAGTCAATATCCCCCGATATATCCCCGATTTCCGCTATCCGATATGGATTTTAGCCATCCGACATGAACCCGACATCCGATATTTAAAACCTTGA